TCAACTTCCGATGGCTGACTGATATCTCATCTTCAAGGTCTCCTTTGCAAAACTTCTTTTTTTTTTTTCCATTTATTTTTATTAGTTGGAGGCTAATTACTTTACATCATTGCAGTAGTTTTGCAAAACTTGAACCACCACTGCACTGTATGTTTGTGAGCAGTTCCTGGCCCAGATGTGTTGATGTTGTGGGTTGTCAACATTTACAACCTGCTTTACAACATTTTGAACTCAAGGAAATCGCTCTAATTTTCTTTTTGTGTAACATTTCCATAGTCTAAAAGAAGTATAAAATGAACAGCAAGTAATAAGTCATTAGCCCAAAAAAAGTGAGAAATGTGCATTAAAATGACATATGACCACATTCATTTAATCTAAATTCATTTAATCTAAAATCAAATGGCAAATTTCAGATTACTTTTGCACCAACCTAATAATATACTTAATCGTTAAAACTTAAATTGTCTTTAACCTTACATGATAATCTTTGGTTGAATTACTACCATTATTGTGGTGAGAGTGAGTCTTTTTCTAGTTTTGTGGTTCTTTTGCATTTACTGGTTGATGATGTTGGGAAAGTGCAGCTTTTCCTCCTCAGTTGGGGTAGGATAAATCTTTAATTCATTTCTCTTAATTACCACTTTTCAAAATTGGGAATAATCTTAATGGTAACCTAAAATGGTGCAAAGTATTTTTTCCTGTCTTCTGTTAATTTGTAATTATCGTAAAGGGGTAACGGTATTTTGGGTTTTTTTTAAATCAATTCAGTGTGTTTCAGTAACAGTTGTTCCTTTTAATGGTCTCCTCATCATTTTTGGCCACTAAAAGTTCTTTCAAACTAGATCTTATATCCTTTTAATGTGACCCATTATACTTAACTTCCTTGTTTTATGTCACAGCAAAATTTCCCCATTTCACCTTGTGCTTTCCTTCCCTCAAATCCGAAATTAGCTGCACTTTTTGGGGAACCCTTTTTGTGTAGAGTCACGTGAAAGAATACAATCTGAGCTTTAAAGAAATGCTCATTGCTAGTAGAGTGACATTGCTTCTGTACTGTTTCAGTGTTCACTGTTCAGAGCTAGAAAATATTTACCTTAAAAAAATGTTAAGAGTTCTGAATTTTTTTCCATGTAATCAGGGCTTTAAAAGTTTTTTTTTATTTTAGTTTATTTTTTTAACACCAAAAACATTTTGTATTGGTGTATAGCCTGTTAACAATGTTGTCATAGTTTCAGGTGAACAGTGAAGGGACTCAGCCATACATATACATGTATTCATTCTCCTGGAAACCCTGCTGGCATATAACCCTGCCATCCAGGCTGGCACATAACATTGAACAGAGTTCTGTGTGCTGTACAGTAGGTTTTTGTTGGTTATCCATTTTAAATACAGCAGTGTGTACATAACCTTCCCCAAGTCCTTAACTATCCCTCCCCGGACCCCTGCAACCATGAGTTCATTTTTTAAGTCTGTTGAGTCTAAGAGTTCTGAATTTTAAATTCAGCTTTAACACTTGTTTTCACTTAATTATTTTACAATGGTGTCATTTCTCTTACTCTGAAGATCTGGATTCTTAACATTATTAGCATAACAACTTCCTTCCTTTTACCTATATTATAAAAGAAATAGTTTCAAAATAACGACACTGATGTTACTTCTCATAATAGAACTTTCTGGTCTTTAACCTTTTGCTAAGGATATACAGTCAAAATACTGTTTCTGAAGTCCTTGGAATAAATCCTTTCTTAGTGGGTTGTGTTATCATTTTGGTTATGTTTATATATTTATTTAAACTTCGCGTAATTTAAGAGATTTTCAGAATCCTGCAGAGAGAGAAACACAGAGAACTCTTGTTTCTGCCACTGCCTACACCACTGTGTGCTGCCCTGGCCCTTAGAGATCACAGTTTTCCTTAGTCTTCTGTATTTCCTTATAGTTTTGCCTTGTTAGACTCCATTAGTATAAAGTATCCATGAACTTCCAGATGTTCAAGCTGGTTTTAGAAAAGGCAGAGGAACCAGAGATCAAATTGCCAACATCTACTGGATCATCGAAAAAGCAAGAGAGTTCCAGAAAAACATCTATTTCTGCTTTATTGACAATGCCAAAGCCTTTGTGTGGATCACAATAAACTGTGGAAAATTCTGAAAGCGGTGGGAATACCAGACCACCTGACCTGCCTCTTGAGAAACCTATATGCAGGTCAGGAAGCAACAGTTAGAACTGGACATGAAACAACAGACTTGTTCCAAATAGGAAAAGGAGTACGTCAAGGCTGTGTATTGTCACCCTGTTTAATTAACTTATATGCAGAGTACATCATGAGAAACGCTGGGCTGGATGAATCACAAGCTGGAATCAAGATTTCTGGGAGAAATATCAATAACCTCAGATATGCAGATGACACCACCCTTATGGCAGAGAGTGAAGAGGAACTAAAAAGCCTCCCGATGAAAGTGAAAGAGGAGAGTGAAAAAGTTGGCTTAAAGCTCAATATTCAGAAAACTAAGATCATGGTATCCGGTCCCATCACTTGATGGCAAGTAGATGGGGAAACAGTGGAAACAGAGACTTTATTTTTCTGGGCTCCACAATCATTGCACATGGTGACTGCAGCCATGAAATTAAAAGATGCTTACTCCTTGGAGGGAAAGTTATGACAAACCTAGATAGCATGTTAAAAAGCAGAGACATTACTTTGCCAACAAAGGTCTGTCTAGTCAAGGCTATGGTTTTTCCAGTGGTCATGTATGGATGTGAGAGTTGGACTGTGAAAAAAGCTGAGCGCTGAAGAATTGATGGTTTTGAACTGTGGTGTTGGAGAAGACTCTTGAAAGTCCCTTGGACTGCAAGGAGATCCAACCAGTCCATCCTAAAGGAGATCAGTCCTGGGTGTTCATTGGAAGGACTGATGCTGAAGCTGAAACTCCAGTACTTTGGCTACCTGATGCGAAGAGTTGACTCATTGGAAAAGATCCTGATGCTGGGAGGGATTGGGGGCAGGAGGAGAAGAGGACGACAGAGGATGAGATGGCTGGATGGCATCACCCACTCGATGGACATGAGTTTGAGTAAACTCCGGGAGTTGGTGATGGACAGGGAGGCCTGGTGTGCTGTGATTTGTGGGGTCGCAAAGAGTCGGAGACGACAGAGCAACTGAACTGAGCTGAACTGAGTATAAGGTAACACAGTACAGCTAGGTACCCACCACTGTCAGTTTGTTTTCAGTCATTTTACTCAGGTTTTAGGAGGAAGCAAAATTATATTTGTGTGTTCAGATACCTCAAGGGACTTTCACTTGATACTTGGTGTCTAAACCATGACTTTCTTCAGTTTTAGAACCCTTGTGTTGACTATTCTGTTGGCCTCAAATGCTTATTTGCCAGGTTTTCTTATGGCTGGCTCACTCTCATCAAAGTTTTGCTTTCTTTTTTTTTCAGTAGTGAATTTGTTTATTTTTGGTTGTAATGGGTCTTCTCTGCTTTTGTGCAGGCTTCCTCTAATTTTGGCAGGAAGAGGCTACTCTCTACTTGGGGTACACTGGCTTCAGTAGTTGAAGCTCTCGGGCTCAGGTTCAGTAGTTGTTATACAAGGGCTTAATTAATCCATGACATGTGGAGTCTCCCCAGATCAGGGATTGAACTCATGTCTCCTGCATTGGAGGTGGATTCTTATCCACTGTGCCACCAGAGAAGTCCAGGAATTTTCTCATTATTTTTTTCATTTTCTGAAAAATTTTTAGTCATCTTTGTTTTGTGAATGCGTCTCTGAGGAGATTAATTATAAAGTTTTTTTTTTCTTTTTCCTAGTTTTGTTTCCTCTAAATTCCTTTGTTTTCAGTTTTGCCTTTGATAGTAGAGGCTTTCCTCAAGTGTTTAGTGGTCTTAGTGCATTGTGAGTGAATATTTAAAAGCTAATTGGAAGTCCAGGATTATTAAAAATAGCACTGTTTATAATGGCCCCAAACCAAATAGCTGTCAACAGAGAAATGAATAAATAAATTGTGGTATAGTCTACAGTGAAACAATGTTTAGGGATGAGAATAAATATGCTACAGTTCTATGCAAGGAACTGGGTGACTCACAAAGGGAATGTTGAGTGAAAGATGATGTATGCAAGAGTACGTATTATAAGTTTCTTCCTAAAGCTTAGAAACAAATAAAACTAATCTGTCATGTTAGACTTGAGGATAGTGGTTCTCAGGGGGATGTGGCTGGTGCTAGTGATTGCAGTAGGGCACCAGGAGCTTCAGCAAAGCTGCTCATGTTCTGCTTTTCAGATGGGTCTAGTTACACAGGAGTGTTCAGTTTGCTTAATTTCATTGACCTGTACTTTAGCTCCTGTGATTTTTGATATGTTATACTTGCAATTAAAGCTCATGTGAAGTAAAAAGAAATAAATCTGGTTGAATCTGTGTGTACAGGATCTGTTGACAGCTACCCACAGAATGTGGTCAGACTGGGCATCCAAGGAGCACTTTTGTTGGGGACCCTGAATGTCACTGTCCGAAGGTGGGAAATCAATATATTTGCTTTTTCTGCTATGTCTAGCTTGAAGTCTTTAAGCCTATTTTAAGCCTCTTTTATTGATAAGACAAGGTATGTTTTGTTTAGTTTGAAAGATGTCCAAGATGAGGTAGAAACATAATTTCTTCTTTGAAAATTACAGAAATAGTTTTGAAATTTCTGTTCATTCATTCAGCATATTCTTCTAAAGACATGCAGATCTGTGATCTCATGGTATGTGGAGCATAGCAGAAATTGCAAACATTAAATGTAAGTAGGATAAGTTAAGGATGGAATTATGGACTGTCCTGGAGGCCTGGAATAGGGGAACTTATCATGTCTTCAGAAACAGGGAGGACAACCCTCAGAAAATTATCCTTTACTCTGGTGAAGAACAGAGGAAAGCACTAGACTTTTTTCTGAATGAAAATGTGTCATCTTGATGTCAAAAACTTTTATTCCTGTCTGTCTGACCACCCTCTTATGTGATTTCAGGTGGAGAGTGTCATGAAGATGCTGTAAATGAATTAGTGAAGGAAGGTGAAATGGGTGCTGAAGAGGAGACACAGAAAACCAAAGGGACAAAAAGAAAGGCTGAGAGCATTCTGGCCAGGTGATGCTGCCCTCAAGGCCCTGAAGTCAGGGGCTGTTGACACAACCATCCAGATCGCTGGCATTGGTCTGATGACAGATTTCTTGCTGCTCGAATTTCTAACCTTTTCTCATTGAGGGAAATATTTGGTGACATTTTGGGATTTAATTCTTATTTTCTGGAAAGCTTTAAAAATTTTTGAGCTTTAATTTGAAAAAAAATTCGTGTGTAATAAGTATGCTTCATTTAAAATGAAAAACTTAGAAGTTCTCTGGCTGTCTAGTGATTAGGATTCTGTGCTTCCAGTGCCATGGCCTGGGTTCAATCCCTGGTTAGGGAACTAAGATCTTAGACGCTGTGTGATGTGCCAAATAGGAAAAGAAAAGAAAAACTCAATTACTAGAAGAAATATGTACCCCATCCCTAGCCTTTGTTGCTTTGTGAAATTATGAAATTTCTCAAGTTATTTAACTCAGATAAGGGAATCTTTCAGTAGAAGTCTTCCTGGACATTAAAAAGTAGATTATAGAAAAATAAATTTGAGTATTAGGTGATTAGTTTGAAGTCAGAATAACGTTAAGCAATTTAATCTTGGGTTCAGTGCTTTTATCCTTGAGTTTTTCTGTATTCCATTTTTGCTGTCTTCAGAAAATATTCAAGAAACAAGGCTTCCCACCCCTCACGCACTGAGAACCCTAGGAAGAGACAGCGTGGATAAATCTGAGGCTCTCGTCAGTCTCTCATCAGTCAGTCTCAAAAGTCAAAAATATCTGGTGTGTGTATGTACTTAGAGCTCCCTTTTTGAACATACTGTTCTGTAAAGTGATTTTGGGTGTTTTCTTGGTGAGAATAGATAGTCCTAACTCAAGTAGAACAGCATATATTTTGATTCTAAGTGTTTTGGGAAAATGTTCTGTAAAGTGATTTTGGGTGTTTTCTTGGTGAGAATAGATAGTCCTAACTCAAGTAGAACAGCATATATTTTGATTCTAAGTGTTTTGGGAAAATGCTAACTGTAGGAGCTGGGTTCTTTTTTTCTTCCACAGAATCTCAGCTTACCTCTCACACTCACTGTATCTTGTGTGTTAATCAGTAGTCCCTGATTTAAAGTTTCCTGAGGTTTACAACATTATGTTTGGAATTCAGGAAGGGATAAGTGAAATTATCTTGCCCGTTTATTTTGTCTTTTCCTTGTGATTGTTGGTGATTAGGAAGAGAAAACACAGTGGCCTCTCACTACAACACGAGGACGAGGAGGATGCCAGCAGGGAATCTGGAGGAAGTAGTAGTGAGAAGGAAGATGCAGCTGCAGAGCAGGAAAAAGGCGTCGAGTCAGAGGATGCCAGGGAGAAGGAGGAGGAGGAAATGTTGGCCAGCTCCGTCAGTGATGTAGAACCAAAATCAGAAGTGCCTCCGAGTACACAAGTTAAAGTAAGTTAATAGTTGAACGGGATGAATGTTTTTCAGAAATTCCCCAGATAGACTCTTTAAATTTGCAAACTCAGATTTGAGGCTTAACAACAGAAATCAGACTAGCAGCCTTTAATATTAACCCTACTAAGTGAAAAGCAAAGTATTCCCTGTGGGAGGAAACACAAGATTTTCTAATCAAATCAGTTTTCAGTGAGAATTTAACTGTTTAGAGATGAAACAAATGTTAAGAATTGCCAGGAACAACACATTTGAGTGGAACTTTTAGTTTTCATTTTGTATCAAACTTAATACACTTCTTTTTCATAGACAGGAGAGGAGAATAAAGAGATGAGTTCAAGTCAAGTCAAAGCAGAAGAACAAGAGAAACCTAAAGAACCAGAAGAAGTTAAAGTCACCAAGGTGTTTGATATTGCTGGTGAAAAAGTCAGGTAGGATGACATTTACAAACTTTAACCTGGTTCTTTTAAAAAGAAACATCTTTCTTTTAATAATATTTATTATTTGTTTATTGGCTGCACTAGGTCTTCATTGCTGCACCTGAGCTTTCTTTAGTTGAGGCAAGCGGGAGCTCCTTTCTAGTTGAGGTGCGCGGACTCCTCATTGGGGTGGCTTCTCTTGTTTGGGAGATAAGGCTTAGTTGCTCTGTGGGATGTGGGATCTTCCTAGACCAGGAGTCAAACCCTGCATTGCCAGGTGGATTCTTAACCACCTAAATGGAACATCTTTCTAAATGGGGTTAGACATCTGTCCTTGTACCAACCCATCTAAATAGTTTGGAAGAATTCTATTAGAACTCAATAGTGGATCCATTAATTATAAGGGAACATGAGAATGGTCCTTTAAGATATGATAATGTAGTTTGGGGGAATGTATGAAGTGGATGACTAAATAGAAACAAGAAAGTGTAAGAGTTAAGCATTATATATTTGGTTCCACCTACTTGTTGCCATGCACTGTGACTTTGGCTATTTCTCCCTTTATTACTTTCCTTAAAATTGGTGTATGTGAAAAGTGAAAGTTGCTCAGTTGTGTCCAACTCTCTGCCACCCCATGGACTGTACAGCCCGTTGAATTCTCCAGGCCAAAATACTGGAGTGGGTAGCCTTTACCTTCTCCATGGGATCTTCCCAACCCAGGGATAGAACCCTGGTCTCCCACATTGCAGTGGATTCTTTATCAGCTGAGTCACAAGGGAAGCCCTAGAATACCGGAGTGGGTAGCCTATCCCTTCTCCAGCAGATCTTCCCAACCCAGGAATAGAACCAGGGTCTTCTGCATTACAGGTGGATTCTTTACCCACCCAGCTATCAGGGAAGTCCCCAACTTTTTCATATATAATCCTCCCCCAAACCTTTGAATCAGGTGACAATTAAAAGTACTAAGAGACATAGACCAAGGATACCACATAAGCCAATTAGAATCAGATGGGTTCAAGATGGCAGACAAGTCAACTTCCACTGGACCTTGATCCTCAGGCAGCAAGCTGAGTGACACACCTAGAGGCGCCATGACAGATCCAAGGCACCATCAGAAGACCAGAAAGTGAGTGGTGGCCCAGCTCCTGGACATCTCCACCCCTTCCCCAGAATAGTTGGAATCCTCCCACTTGTTAGCGGACGAAATTACCCAGCTCATGAAAGCTCACTGTGCCACATTTCTAGAGAAGTTTGATTCTGTTACTATTATCTCAATATTTTTTCAAGCAATTCATAGCTTTGTTATAGTTTAGAAAAGCAGTATAGTCTTAATACTCTGGCTGTTCTGGAAGAGAGCCACATGCTTAGAATTTCCTCTTCCCCATTTATTTAAAATTATAATATGAAAATAGCAGATCTGTAAGATCCGGCTAGATAACAGATGAAGTTCCTGCTGGCATAGTGATTTGACTTAGGTCTGTCGTGAAATGATTAGTAATAACTGTATTTTCAGAAGTCATCTTCCATGCTTTATCGGTAGTCAGTTCCAGTCATTTATCCCATCAAGTTATAGTTAAATTTAAGTTGTATTTCAGTGGGAAAAAGGAGTTTCCTATATGTTAATTTTTTTTTTGGAAATTACAACTCAGAATATTGTATGAAACATGTTAACTTACAGGAACTGTTATTCAGGCTCTCAGCTTTCACTCCTACTCTTATAATTTATTTGCTTTTGAAAAATCTGTTGACTTGGTTCCATGTGTGAAAATACTAAGATGATCAGGAATACCAAACTGGGAATGCGCTTGTTGCCCAGATGTTAGGACTCCGTGCTTTCACTGCTGAGGACCTGGGTGTTCAGTTCCTGGTTGCGGTAACTGAAACCCTGCAAGCTTGGGTGTCTTGGCCAAAAAAAGAAAAACACCCAAAAAACCCCTCCAAACCAAGCAGATAGATGAGCATATTTTATTGTGTAATTGAGATCGTTAATTGGGGACCATATGGTTATCATTTCTCTTTAGGAAGAAATAAGTTTATTCTGTATCTCATCATTCTTACGGCATTTTCTTCATAACCATTGTCCTTACGCGCGCCTCCGTGCAGCCGCAGCCTCGGCGGGTCTCCTCCGGCCCCGCGAGGGCTCACGCCACGCTCAGCTCGAGGCGCCCGGGCGCGGCCATTTTGGGCGCCACGTGACCCTCCTACTCTTATAATTTATTTGCTTTTGAAGAATCTGTTGACTTGGTTCCATGTGTGAAAATACTAAGATGATCAGGAATACCAAACTGGAAATGCGCTTGTTGCCCAGATGTTAGGACTCCGTGCTTTCACTGCTGAGGACCTGGGTGTTCAGTTCCTGGTTGCGGGAACTGAAACCCTGCAAGCTGGGTGTCTTGGCCAAAAAAAAAAAAAAACACCCAAAAAACCCCTCCAAACCAAGCAGATAGATGAGCATGTTTTATTGTGTAATTGAGATCTTTAATTGGGGACCATATGGTTATCATTTCTCTTTAGGAAGAAATAAGTTTATTCTGTATCTCATCATTCTTACGGCATTTTCTTCATAACCATTGTACCTCAACATATATAACATCCACTTTTATGATCAGCTTTCAGTTTATCAATATAGCCTTTTAAATTTAATGCATTAGCTTTATGTAATTCATAGGTTTTACTACCTTGATAAGAACAATGGGGTTTTTTGTTTTTGTTTTTTTATAGTAAGATGTTTTTCAATGAAGGAAGCAGTGTGTTGATTTATGTTCTAACACAAACTCCTTAATCTAAACTTTTTCCCTGTCCTGCAGCTGTGTCATTGGAACTTACTGTTGCAAACACTTAAACTTCGAATCTCATCTGATGTTATGTGATCCTACTTTTATTTTAACTGACAGATAACTGTCAGTTAATGTTTGTCAGCAAGAAACGGATAAGAGACTCATTTATATCATACTCATGTTTAAATCACATATACTAAAATAAATTTCCTATCAGCAATAAACTGTCATTCTTCAAATTGCTTTGAAGAAATACTTTGCTAACCTTGTTATAGTTTCTTTATCATAACCCAGATCCTGAATACTTTAAGCCATGGTGTCACTGGAAAAGAACTCACTGCTTTTAGTGCCGCATGATCAAAAACCAAGCCCACTGTATGAGGGCTCATAGACTAAAACCAAGTTTGACTTTACTAGTCCTTCATTAATGAAATGAGTCACTGGAGTCACTTCCATTAGCATCATATGGTTTACTACTGCTGCTGCGTCAGAAAAGATGAGGGTTTTTTCTTTTTTTTCTCAGAAATGTGGTTTGGTTGTTTTGCCACTAGGACTAAAAATAACACCAGTTTTATGTTCTTAGTTTACTTACTGAATTGTCAATTTTAAAAGTTCCACTTGATTGTTATAAAGTAAAAATATAAAGATAAAATAATTGTTAAAAATAACAATTTATACAGAGAAATGCTTACATTTTATCAAATTTCTGTGCTTAAATTGCTAAAACAACCCCAAATTTTCATGCACACTGTAATGTGGTCTTCCTGCACATGAATGATAACACTAATATCACATTAAAGCACCTTGCAGGTTTGATAGTACCTGAATTTGGTCTATGCTGTGTTTAATGCAATGAGTTTAATGCATGAATAATGATTCATGTCCTGAATATTATGACATTGTCAAATTGTTATGCATGTTTTTAACTCTTTAACTCAAAATTTTTATACATCTTGGAACAATAGCAGATAGTTTTCCATGCTCACGTTTTTGTTAGCTTTATATACAGTTCTACTCAAATCTTTCCACAATTATTCCAAAATGTTCTTCGGAGCTGTGTGTCTTGTCCAATCCAACGTCCAATCCGAGATTACCCTCTGCATGTGGTGTTAAGGACCCATCTGTGTGGCAGAATGTCTCAGTTTCAGTTGTTGAGTTGTTTCCTCATGGTTAGCTTCATGTTAATCACTTGGACCATCAATACTACGTTGATGATGATTTGTCCTCCTCAGCACATCACATCACCACCACCTGACATTGGTGCTGATGAGTTAGACCGCTTAGGCGATATCTGTCGGGATTCTCCATTACAAAGACAGTCTTTTCCCGTATAATCATTTTTAGGACCCATTAAATCTTAATGATGTGAATTAATAATGTATTTTGCTGCCAGAAATCACACTGGGAACTATTGAGTTGTCCAACAGAGGGTAGTAGAACACTGATGGTGAACCTCTAATGCTTTCAATGTCCTAAAAGGATACACAGAAAGAATTTACTGTGCCACTAGGAATACAATTTAAATACTGGAATCTTTCTTGGTTTGTATTATTTCTCTTGTATCACATTGGATATCTAAAGAAGATTTATTATAACTTTACCATTGACTTGACAGTAATAAAGTCTGGTGAATAACTATTGTTGTGAGAAATTATTAAATTTTCTGATCAAATTAAATTTAATGGATTTATTAAAACTTATAAATATTTTGACACAAATTTTGTATTTTTTCTTAAAAAAAATTTTTCCCCCTGTTTGATTTTTTAAAAGCAAATGCATGGTGATTTTACATACCACATGAGTATCTGGAAAGCCTGCTGTTTCTGTCATTGTCCGAAGAGGGCAGCCCCATTTCTATCAAAGAAACAAATATGAATGAGGAAAAATCCTTTTTTTCCCATAAATATACACACTCACATATTTTATATTCAAAAGTAATATATTCTCATTACTTTTAGCACACACATTGCAGAGTTATATACTGCTGTGCCAGGTGAAAGTTCTCTGAAAGTCAGTAGCATAATACATGTTAATTTCTTACTGGTGCGGAGGAGTCCAGTACAGGTTGGGTAACACTCTGTTTTACTGCTCTGCCATGTAGACACATAGGAAACACACAGACTTTAGATTTCCTGTGGCAGGAAAGAGTGAGTGGATACATTTTCATTTCATTTGTCTGTTTTGAGAATGAAACTTGTGCCATCAGCCCTGCCCTTTGAGTCTCGGACTTCTGTGGTGACATATACTCTTCATTTCATAGGGATGATGTCAGGTTCTGGAAGAGCATGGGAGTTGGGAAATTTATGGCAACTATCTTTGGGAAATAGAATTTACTAAAGGATTCTCTCTAGCAGTGCTACGTCATCTCTAGATGAGAAAAAATAACCTAGCCCCTTAGAAATTAGTGTTTTCATGCATGGGTTGTAAATGTGTTAGGTGTTGCTATAGGAATGCTACAGACCATCCCAAAACATACTGGTATACTACCAAGCATTTTATTTGTTACACCTGTTTCTAGATATCGAGGGTTCAGCTAATCTAGGCTTGTCTCCTAACTGCTGGTTGAGTTGAGACATGCAGCATGTGTCTGTCAGCCATTTAGGACCTGCAGCTCCCTGAGAGAGGTATTCAAGGGCAGGTGGAACAGTGCAAATGCATTTAAAGCTTCTTTGCCTGTCACATCAGTTAATGTCATTGACCATTGAAGTAAGTCATATATCCAAGCTCAGGATCAGTGGGGTGGGCAAGTACCTTCTTGGGCACGAAGAAAGAAGTGAGTATTTGGGGAATGGTATTCTATAATCATAAAAATTCTCCCTCTTTTTTTTTTTTTTTTAAATTCTTCTCTCTTTCCTGAGAAGTTTACTTAGAATAGTTTTGTTGTTCAGTAGCCAAGTCATGTTCTTGTTTGACTCATTGCAACCCAGTGAACTGTCCCATGCCAGGCTCCTCTGTCCTCCACTGTTCTGCAGACTTGGCTGAAATTCATGTCCATAGAGTCTGTGATGCTATCTAAACATCGCTTCTTCTGCTGGATGCCCCTGCCTTCTCCTTTTTTGTGTCTTTCCTTTTCCTAACATCAGGGTCTTTTCAAATGAGTCAGCTGTTCGCAACAGGTAGCCAAAGAATTAGAACTTCAGCATCATCCTTCCAATGAATATTCAGGACTGATTTCCTTTAGGATTGACGGCTTTGATCTCCTTGCAGTACCTTGCTGTCCAGGGTACTCTTAAGAGTCTTTTCCAGCACTGCAATTTGANCTAATACCTCCAGTAAGAATGAAGCGGCTGGGCCAAAGTGGAAAGGACACTCAGCTGTTGATGTGTCTGGTGATGAAAGTAAACTCCGATGCTGTAAAGAAGAATATTGCATAGGAACCTGGAATGTTAGATCTATGAATCCAGGTAAATTGGATGTGGTGAAGCAGGAGATGGAAAGAATAAACATTGACATCTTAGGAATCAGTGAACTAAAATGGACAGGAATGGGCGAATTGAATTCAGATGACCATTATATCTATTACTGTGGGCAACAGTCTCTTAGAAGAAATGGAGTAGCTATCATAGTTAACAAAAGAGTCCGAAATGCAGTAATTGGGTGCAATCTGAAAAACGACAGGATGATTTCAGTTCGTTTCCAAGGCAAGCCATTCAACCTCACAGTAATCCAAGTCTATGCGCCAACTCCCTATGCTCCAGAACCTGAAGTTTACCGGTTCTATGAAGACCTACAACACCTTCTGGAATTAACACCAAAAATAGATGTCCTTTTCATCATAGGGGATTGGAATGCTAAAGTGGGAAGTCAAGAGATACCCAGAATAACAGGAAAGTTTGGCCTCGGGGTACAGAATGAAGCAGGGCGAAGGCTAATAGAGTTTTGTTACCAGAACAGGCTGGTCATAGCAAACACCCTTTTCCAGCAACACAAGAGACGACTCTACACATGGACATCGCCAGATGGTCGATACCGAGATCAGATTGATTATATTATTTGTCGCCAAAGATGGAGAAGCTCTGTACAGTCAGCAAAAACAAGACCTGGAGCTGACTGTGGCTCAGATCATAAGCTCCTTATTGCAAAGTTCAGGCTTAAGTTGAAGATAATACCAAAAACCACTCGGCCATTCAGGTATGACCTAAATTAAATATCTTATGATTATACAGTGGAGGTGACATATAGATTCATGAGATTAAGAGAATAGAGGAGCACAAAAATTAAACCAGATTTTGGGTGGTCTTGAATGTGGGGTTCAGCAGTTTGTATTTTATGCTCTTAGTAATACTGATCCATCACAGGAACTTGGGTAGGGAAGTAACAGTATGTTTTTTTGTTTCTTTGTTTGAAGTCATCTTTTGAGATTAAAGCAGTCATGGCCAGTGAAGATACTTTTTAAAAATTATTTTATTTTTGTTTTGGTTGCTCTGGGTTTTCAATGCTGCTCGTTGGCTTTGATCTTTGGGGGGAATTGAACTACTCTATAACTATTATAGTGCACTTTAAACATGAAGCTCAGCAGCTAGAATTTATAGAAAGCCCAGTGTTTTTTTCCTTGTTATTTATGCCCTTTTCATGGAGTTTTTTTTTTTTTTTTTAACCCTCTTACATACTTGATGGCTCCTCCTTTCATGCAGGGGGCCTAATGAAGTGGGTGAGACTTCTCAAGAAGCGAAATCTGTATTCAAGCAAACTGAAAAGGACAAACCTCAGGCTAATGTCCCTTCAAATGCGTCATCCGTTTCTGGTGGGTCAGGGTGAGTACCATCTCTCAGGCCTAGGTGTATCTGGCACATTGGAGAAGATGTTTTCAGTACAAGGATGCTATTTGCCTATAGTTTTCATGCCTCTCTTTCTTGAGAGAAGGATTCTTTCTGCTGTTGTTCTGCCTTTCCTGAAGTACTTGCCAAAATGAAGCGTGTAGAGATAAATTAGCCACAATTTTTTTGGTTGATTCTGAAAAAAGTCCTGATTTACATTGTTAGACACAGAGTTGAACAGGTAGTAGCCCTAATTTTAAAAAATAATTTTTGTATGAAAGTATCAGCAGTTCATCAAAACTTTTAGTAAGTTTTGAGTGGAGTACTTGCTTCCACCCATAAGGATCTCATAGGAATAGAAAAAGGTCAAAGCTGACTTACGGTTTTATTAGCACATTATCAAAAGAACTCAGTAGTTTTTCTCCCTTCATATTTTGCCTAGTACATCATTTATCCTGAGAAGACAAGAATTCTTTCTTTGGAGGAAGGAATAATTTCTTTTTAACCTACATGCAAGAAGTAAAGCTGACAGATAGGAGTAGTCAGGGCACTCACCGAGAGAGGGGAACACGGACCACGCTCATCACAGCCCTGATCAACTCTGCCTTCTGAGGTGTTTGGGCTACATGTGACCCATTGTTAATTCACTGACATTTCAGTCAGTTTGCCGCTGCTTCTTACAACTGCAGAACATAGCAGCCTTCCATAGGAGGCAGTTCTGGGGGATGTGAGGTCCTGGTACCATTGGTAGTCCACAAGCAGAAGGTTCCTAGTACCTTTATTTCTGTTGTGTGGACTCTGTTAGGCTGCTTGTGGCTAAAATCAGTTTAACTTTTGTATTAGATTCTTTCACTAAATGCTGCAGTCATAATGATCAAATCTTTGAACCATAGAAAATTATTTAAATTTAATTTTTCTGTTGACATTCCTAAATCTGGTCTAAATGTTTATCAATAAAGAATTACTTCCTCTGGAGAAGAAAATGGCAACCCACTCCAGTATTCTTGCCTGGGAAATCCCATGGACAGAGAAGCCTTTTGGGCTTTAGTTCATGGGATTGAAAATGTCAGAGAGTACTGACATTGTACAGAGTCCACACAACAGAAATAAAGGTACTAGGAACCTTCTGCTTGTGGACTACCAATGGTACCAGGACCTCACATCCCCCAGAACTGCCTCCTATGGAAGGCTGCTATGTTCTGCAGTTGTAAGAAGCAGCGGCAAACTGACTGAAATGTCAGTGAATTAACAATGGGTCACATGTAGCCCAAACACCTCAGAAGGCAGAGTTGATCAGGGCTGTGATGAGCGTGGTCCGTGTTCCCCTCTCTCGGTGAGTGCCCTGACACACACAGTGCATTATGAGGAGAGACCATAGGTGTGCCTTGGAGTTCTACATTCAGAGCTGCTTTAAAGGTGTCATCCGCATAGTATGATTATAAGGTTAGATTTCTAATTTAAAAAATAGATATGCAACAGCAAGAAAGGTTTGTTGTATAGCACAAGGAACTGTAGTCAATATCTTGTAATAAACTATAATGGAAAATAATTTCAAAAATAATATATGTATACATGTACAACTGAATCACCTTGCTGTGCACCTGAAACATTGTAAGTCAACTATACTTCAGCAAAATATATGTTAAGGAAAAAAATTACCACCAGTTCTGTGAACTAGGTCTGGTTTTCTTTCTCAGTGGCCAGTGAGTATAGTTGTTTCTAATAAAGTTTTCAAACTTTGTATTTTTATATATATAACGTAAAGAAGGCTCTAGAGAGTTTTATTTGATTCTGAGTAATACTGAGCCGTCCCAAGAATTGAGTAGGAGAGTAACAGGATGTTTGCTTGAACTCATCCTTCAGTGTTTCCAGTGACGATTCTTTTTTTTTTTTTAATTTTATTTTTGGTTGTGCTGGATCTCCATTGCTGCCCACGGGCTCTCTGTAGTTGCGGAGAGAGGAGGCTGCTCTGTAGTTGTGGTCCATGGCGTTCTCACTGCCATGGGGAGCACCAGCTATAGGTGCACAGGCTTCAGTCGTTGGGGCTCTGCGCTCAGTAGTTGCAGTGCCTGGGCTTAGTTGCTCCAGCATGTAGAATCATCCTGGACCAGGACCGAAACCATGTCCCCTGCATCGGCAGGCCAATTCCCATCTACCGTACCACCAAGGAAGTCCCTGCCACTGAAGAATGTTAGTGTAAAACTCTCAAACTCTTTATTTTGTGCCAATTGTGTGGGCGAGCGGTAGTGTGATGGTTCTTAATGAGAAAATTTAGTTGTCATCCCAAGAACCCTAGAAGAAACAAAAGAAAAGAGAGAGACTTCTATTCCTTGCAAATCTGGGATTTGTAGGATTTGTCTGTCATTATTCTGAATGACGTGTTTGAACACTCCATGTAACACAGTGACCGTAATCTTGGACCCTCTGACAGATTGGCATTTGAACAAAATTTTTCAGATATTTTTATTGACTTGGTAACTCAGGCAGGCATTAGGCATTTCCTTTCTTCATCTGAAATTTCTGGCATCATTCATATCTTTATTTGATCCTTTAGGCTCAGTTTCCTTGAGGGAATTTTTTTTCAGTTTGAAATTAGACAGGATTCTCAGTCATGGAGCTTTCTTCCACTCCCAAATCACTGCTTGTTTATCTTCCAGTTGTTTAAGGTATAGAACAGGACCCTTCTTTAGAAAATTGCATATACTGTTTTTATATTGTTTATAGGAATTGTTTATACTGTTGATTTTCTACTTGAAATAATATCAGTGTGTTTCTCCCAACTACTCCACCACCCTGTTCCCACTTTGCCTTAAGCATGAGCACTGATGTGCAGTGGGAGAGCCCTCCCAGTCTTCACTTTGGTGATCTCACGTGGGCTGTGATTCAGGGTGTGACAGAAGTAATGGAGGGGTTTGAGAGACATCAGACTTCCACCTGCTGTTGTTTCATTGTTAAATTAATAAGGGCTGATGTCTTTATCTAGAAGTGTTAACAGGAAACTTTGATCATAACGCTCAGCAGCAAGAATTTATAGAAAGCCCAGTGATTTTTTTTTCCATGTTATTTATGCCTTTTTCTTAGATTTTCTTTCTTTGTATTCCTCCTGTATACTTGTTGTCTCCTTCCTTGGTGCAGGGTGTCTAAGGAAGTGGGTGAAACGTCTCAGGAAGGGAAAGCTGTCTTCAAGCAAAATGAGAAAGAAGAACCTCAGTCCAGTGTCCCTTCAGCGGTGCTATCACTTCCTGCTGGGTCAGGGTGAGTAGTCTAGTCTTAGGCCCAGGTGTACCTGCTATGTTGGAGAAGATACTTTCATTGCAAGGATACGATTTCCCTGTAGCTCTCATGACTCCTTTCCTAAGAGAAGGAATTCTGCTGCTGCTATGTCTTTGCTGAAATATTTGCCAAAATGGAGGATACAGAGAACAATTAGCCATCGGCTTGTTGTTTAATTCTGACAAAGTCCTGGTTTATATTGTTGGCCACGGAGCAGAACATGTAGTAGACGACCAGGGAATTTCCCATTTCAATTGTTGTGTTTGTTCAGGGTTATAGAAACATCATTATATGTTTGAAAATAATTCTTTTTTTTTTTTTAATATTTAATCTCAGAAAGGTTTTTATTTGTGAGTGGTTGCCTACATGGAAAAATATTGGCATTTGTGTTGAACATTGTATTATTATTATTATTTTTTGGCTGTATTGGGTCTTAGTTGCAGCACACAGAATCTTGGGGCATGTGAACTCTCAGTTGCAGCATGTGGGATGAGTTCCCTGACCAGGGGTGGAACCTGGGCCCCCTGCATTGGAATGAGGAGTCTTAGCCACTGGACCACCAGGGAAGTCCCTGAACGTTGTATTTTTTCACACTCAGCTTCTGAGATATTTGGCCAGTAGATGACTTAACTAGAGATGTGTCCACACTGCCCCACCTCCCAAGCTGCATGTCAACTTTTCCTTTTTTTTTTTTGAGCAGGAAGGAAGGAGCCCCAACCATAAGAAGTAGTTTCTGGGTTCTTTAAGATGGGATTTTTAGGGAAAAGCATTTCATGTAAAAATAAATCCGTATACAAATCAGCAACAAATATTCCAAGATAAGGATGTCTAGTTGTGCTATTACTCATTGGTTTTCTTAAGTGAAACATTACTAGCTAAGGTAGGCAGATCATGTAAATAGTTATCATTAAGCCCTTATGTTTTCCAAGTTTTTAAATTGTGGTTAGCTCTTGATTGTTAAAGCTGCTCTGGTTTTAATAAAATTCTTATTACAACTTCAGTGCATACCAGCCTTCCTTAGGAGACCATTTTTTGGGATGTGAAATCCTGGTGCCATTAGGCACAACTTGCAGAAACTTCTGTGTACCTGCATTTCTGTTTTGTGGACTCTGTTAGGCTGCTTGTGGCTGAAATCAGATTAACCTTTGTATTAGGTTCTTTCACTAAATGCTTCATTGAAAATGATCAAATCTTTGTACCATAAGGAATTTTGTGTCATCGTTGGGTTGTTTTAGGTATAGAACAGGAGTCATCTTTAGGGTATTCTAAACTGTTATTACTGTTGCTTTTCCCTTGAAATAATGCCAGTGTGTTTCTCCCAGTTACTCGACGTCCCTGTTCCCACTTTGCCTTAAGCATGAGCACTAATGTGCACGTGAAGTGCAGTGGGAGAGCCCTCCGGTCTTCACTTGGGTGATCTCACGAGGGCTGTGGTTCAGGGCGACGGGCATGTGACAGAAGGAAAGGAGGAGGTGTGAGAGACGCCAGACTTCCATCTGTTGCTGTTTCCTTTATCAAATTAACAAGGGGAAAATGTCTTTGTCTAGAAGTGTTACAGGAGACTTTGATCATAATGCTCAGCAGCAAGAATTTACAGAAAGCCCAGTTGTTTTCTCTTTGTTATTTTTTGCTTTTTCTTAGATTTTGTTTCTTTTTATTCCTCTTGTAAACTTGTTGTCTCCTTCATTGGTGCAGGGTGTCTAAGGAAGTGGGTGAAACACCTCAAGAAGGGAAATCCGTCTTCAAGCAAAATGAGAAAGAAGAACCTCAGTCCAGTGTCCCTGCAGCGGTGCCATCACTTCCTGCTGGGTCAGGGTGAGTTGCAGGTCCAGGTGTACTTGCCACATTGGAAAAGATGTTTTTGGGACAGTGACTGTTTTCCACCCCTGAGGATCTCGTAGGGAGAAAAAAGGTCAAAGGTGACTTATAGTTAATTTTAATAACACATTGTCAAGAACTTAATAGTTTTTCCTCCCTTCATATTTTCCATAGTACAGGGTTATCTAGAGATGAAAACTGGAATTCTTTATTTGGAGGAAGGAAAAGTTTCATTCATCTTAAAACTGCATGTAAAAAGTAGAGGTGACAGTTAAGTAGGAGGAGTCAGGGCACTCGCCTTGAGAGAGGTGAACATGGACCACTCATTCCCATCACAGCACTGATCACCTCTGACTCCTGAGCAGAGCTGTCTCTTCTTGAGGTGTTTGGGGTACAAGAAGTCACCTATAGTGGCTTCACTAACCTTTCATTCAGTTTGTTGCTTTATCCTTCCCCCACAAATCTGTGAAGTTTTTTCTTATGTTTTTAATTAAAAAAGAAATTTGGTTTTCCTGTCAGGTTAACATTTTTAGAGGACAGGCTTTTCTGATCTTTGCAGCCCTGGCTTAAAACGACATTGTGTGCACTGGTGTGCATTGACCCCTGCGACAGAGGATTGAGTGTGGGTCATTAGTGTGAGAGGTGATTCTTGGAAACTGATCCAGGAGGAGAAACGGTGTGGGAAAGGTAGCAAGTGCAGGGTGTGTTTTGCGGCTTCTGGTGGCTGCTACTCAGTCTTGGTGGTGGTCTTAGCAGGGGTGAGGAGGTTGGGGGAGTGTTATCCTCCAATTCCCTGCCACGCTCACTCAGCTGCTTCCATGTCACTCAGGCCATGAGCCGGAGGTGTTTGCAGTGACGCTCTTCTCAGGGGGTCATGGCAGTGAGTGCAGGGACATGAGGAAGGAGTATGTTCATATCTGCTCCATACTTGTTATCTGCTTCTTCATCCAAACGTTTGTCTCCCACTGAAGCAACTAGGTGGTGGAAGTCATGTAGAAGTTACACAGGAATGTAAGAAGGAAAAGGATTTGAGTACTTGCTACTGCACTGGAAATGGGGTAAACATCAAGGAAGGTGGCTGTCAGAGAAACAGAGTAATGTGAGCAGAGTTCTCAAGACTGACTGTTAATGCTCTAGGGCAGTACTTTTTTTTTTTTTCATTTATTTTTATTAGTTGGAGGCTAATTACTTTACAGTATTGTAGTGGTTTTTGCCATACATTGACACGAATCAGCCATGGATTTACGTGTGTTCCCCATCCTAACCCCCCTCCCACCTCCGTCCCCATTACATCCCTCTGGGTCATCCCAGTGCACCAGCCCCGAGCACTTGTCTCATGCATCCAACCTGGACTGGCGATCTGTTTCACACTTGATAATATACATGTTTCGATGCTGTTCTCTCAGATCATCCCACCCTTGCCTTCTCCCATAGAGTCCAAAAGTCTGTTCTATACATTTGTGTCTCTTTTTCTGTCTTGCATATAGGGTTATCATTACCATCTTTCTAAATTCCATATATATG